ACGATCGGGATACAGATGACCCCAATGCTTGGCACCCCGTGCGCACGCTCAGCATCACGATCGGGATACAGATGACCCCAATGCTTGGCACCCCGCTCAGCCTTACGATCGGGATACAGACGACCGCGATGCTCGGACAGCCGAAGTAATACCCCCGTACACGCGATCCCAATGCATCAACTCTTTCTCTCTCTCTCTCTCTCTCTCTCTCTCTCTCTCTCTCTCTCTCTCTCTCTCTCTCTCTCTCTCTCTCTCTCCCCCTCTCTCTCTCTCTCTCTCGTTCCTCCCCGCCTCCCCTCTCCTCACCTTCTCCCCCTCTGCCTTTCCTGTCTGTCTCTTATTCATCTGGCATGCTCAGGGGCTGGCATTCATCAGGCCAGGCAGACTCTTGAACGCAATGTGCGACAAACCTCTGCGACTATAACACCTGTGCGTATGTGACGTGCGTGACGTGCGTGACGTGCGTGACGTGTGCGACATGTCACACGTGTGTGTGACGTGTTTGACGTGTGCGACGTGTGTGTGACGTGTGTCACGTGTGTCACGTGTGTGACGTGTGACATTCCGTTGAACCGTCTTGTAGACATCGTCGCAAACGGGATCGTACATTCAGTTCTCTCTATACATCTCTCTTCTAAAAATGCCACGTGTCTCTCTAGATTATGTCTCTACATTAACGCAGCAGAGATGATTAGTTGGAGGGGTCCAATCGTAACCAGAATCATAACAGATGAGTGTATGTAGGTTCCAATGATTACGATTCTGATTAGATCGCCCATCTAATTAGAGCTTCCACGTTGGATGTGGGGATACACAATTATCTCGATATTGGATGTCGGGATATGATGATATCCGCATTGGATGTCGGGATTGGTCGGGATATGATAGATGCGTATCGGATGGATGCAATCACACAGAGATGTGAATGGTATGTCGGGATATGGTGCTGCGGTCCAATCATTACATCCAATGATTAGATACCAACGATCAAATAATGATAAGAGATGTGATGGTATCTAGGGGTGCACTGATTAGCTCCTCCTATGATTGGAGAGTTGATGTGATTGGATGGTAAGGAGAACAATCTTGCCTTGTTTGTTGATTCCAGTATTTCGTTTGATTGATTTTTATTGAATTAATACTGTAATTAGGCAGTTTATTTATTACTCTGTTTAATTATTTACGTGGAAGGTCCTCCTAGACGTAGTCCATGATAATCAGGTACACGTGGAGGATGATTTTTGAAAGCTGAACTCAGAAGAAAAAAAAAAAGAGGAAAAAAAAAAGAGAAAAGAAAAGAAAAAAAAGAAAAAAAAAAGAAAAAAAAAAGAGAGAAAAAAAAGGGAGAGAGAGAAGAAAAAAAGAACTCAGAAAACAAAAAAAAGAGAGGGAAAAAAAAAAGACGAAAGGAAAAAAAAAAAAAGCTGAACTGGCTCGAAAGGATGAAGATGTGGGTGTTGGTGTCATGTTCGCAATGCGTAAGAAGGGATCATAATATTTGTAGACCATTAAATAAATAACCAAATAAATACGTAAATAATTAAAATAATTAATGATTAAATAATTAGCGAAAAATAATTAACAAATCGACAGACTGTTTGCTGGCTATTTGTACCATTGGGCTACTCAATCCGAGAAGAGACGGACAACAATAGTGATGACCACAACCATAATGATGGTACTTATCGATGGTGATGATGATGATGATGATGATGATGATGGGCATCGGTATTATTTCACACGTGTTTGTTAACGACAACAATAATCAATAAATTAATGGTAAAAAAAAATAAAGAAATTCAATCAATCACTCAAATCAACAAACTAAGCCAATCAATAAATCACTAAATGATAGATAGATGCATTGATTAGCTAGTTTGTTAATTGAGTAATTGATTGATTTTTTTCTTGGCCATAAATTATTGATTATTGATTGATGGATTGATTGATTGTCGTTTTTTTTTAATGTATCAATCGCATGATTTGACATGCTCAGCAGAAAAGTGGGGGGCTTCGGGGNTCAGCAGAAAAGTGGGGGGCTTCGGGGGGGGGGGAGAAGGAGGGGGGGGGAGGGCAAGACAACCCCGCAAAGGCCCCCTTGTTTGGGGTTTTCGCTGTTTTAAAACTTTTTTACTGTTCTGACGCGCACTTTTTTTTTCACTTTTTTTTTTTTTTTCTGTTCTAACGCGCACTAATTTTGTCTTGTCGATGAAAAAACTCGTAAAAAAAAAAAACAAAAAAAAAACTCGTTGTCACCCAGTGAGTAAATACTGTAAATGGTCCCAAAAATAATAATAATATTCAGATAAATTAGTGCTCCCTCGGATAACATGTGGGCGGCGTTTGCAGCCGCTGAGCCGCCTGACACCGTTACGGATGGATAATGACCTTGATTGAGGCCAGATGAATTCCAGATGTCGCTGAACCGCCACACACCGTTGCAGCTCCAATCGCGCGTAAGGTCGCAGGCAGGCTCGACTCCGCGCGACTCGGGGCCAACTTTTGATCTAAGATCGATCGGATCAATCAACGATGATTGATCAGCGATGATTAATCGACGGTGATTAAGTTTTTTTTTTTTTTTTTTTTTTTTTTTTTTTTTTTTTTTTTTTTTAACTGGTATTATAGATCGAGCGCACGACAAACGGATTATCACTGCGGCGACGGCGTCTTTCTCCTCTTCTGCCTCGTCTTCTCATCCTCCTCCTCCTCCTCCTCCTCCTCCCCCTCCTCCTCCTACTCTTCCTCCCATGTATCAAGGGCACGACAAACGAACCATAGGGTGCCTAGAGAGCCGCTTCTCCTCCTCCTCCTCCTCCTCCTCCTCCTCCTCTTCCTCCTCCTCCTCTCCCTTCTCCTCCTCCTCCTCCTCCTCCTCCTCCTCCTCCTCCTCCTCTTCCTTGTCCTCTTCTTCTTCGACATCGTCGTCGTCGTCTTGTTTTCCTTCTTCTCCTTCTTTGTCCTGACGCTGTACACATTAACGAGCGAGACATCACTCACAGCAAACCGTCTTTACGCGAATAGAGCGCCCGGCGATTATAGCATGTATTTGGCACAGCTTTCAGTCTCGATACAGTGATAATTACCGGGCGTTCTATTCGGGAGGAGACTGTAGTAGGCGAGATAGATAGGTAGATAGATAGTGATGAAGTTCACTTTTCTGGGCTGATGCATGCGTCGTGTAACGTGTTTTTTTTTTTTTTTTTCTTTTTTTTTTTTTGCGATGTGGCGTAGATCATCTCCAGCCGTCGTGGCCCAGTTGCGGGATGATTCGGTAGTCAAACTGAGCGAGTACCTGGTCTACTTTTGCGCCAGGTTCATGCTAAGGGATCACTCACATGATTTGTCAATCGCAGTCTGGATTCCCAGTCAGCGTGAAAGATTAGGTCCTCGTTGTTCCACGCCTCGGCAAATTTGAAAAAAAAATGGCGAGTGTATCTTGACGTAAAAGCTGGCAAGATACACTCGATCCAAATGTCATTTTTCACATTTGACCCTTGCGGTGGAACGATGCCTAAGTATCATCAGCGAGTTATCCATTCGCGCGTAATTATTACGCAGATCTTCGGCCATTATCGCGGTGGCGGGACTTTTCCTGACGTATCCGACTGCAATAATGCGGCTAGATGCACTTGAGAAGCGCCCTATTGTCGTTTTCCCGCCGAATACAACACACGGTCATTATAGCTGTATTTATAAACCTATAATTACCGTGCGTTTTATTCGGGGGAAGACGGGTAGTGTGACTATACCCTTAGTTGTTCTCCACCAATCATATCTTTTGATGTGCGATCCCCACGTTAACCTTCCGTTATCCTTCCGTTAGTGGGAGGTTCTGTGGGGCAGTTATCCTTCCGTTAGTGGGAGTTACTGTGGGGCAGTTATCCTTCCGTTAGTGGGAGTTACTGTGGGTCAGTTAACCTTCCGTTAGTGGGAGTTACTGTGGGTCAGTTATACTTCCGGTAGTGGGAGTTACTGTGGGTCATTATCTTTCCCATTAGTGGGAGTTACTGTGGGTCGTTATCTTTCCAATAGTGGGAGTTACTGACCACTGGTTAACGGAGTTAACCACGTAAAACACGGAAAGCATGATTTGTTGGGCCTTTTTTTTTTTTTTAACTAAAAAAAAAAAAAGTTTGCCTGTGTTTTCTATCGAGTTACAGTGGGTCCTTGTCCTTTCGTTAGTGGGAGTTACTGTGGGTCAGTATCCTTCCGTTAGTGGGAGTTACTGTGCGTCATTGTCTTTCCACTTAGTGGGAGTTACTGTGGGTCCTTATCCTTTCGTTAGTGGGAGTTACTGTGGGTCATTCCGTTAGTGGGAGTTACTGTGCGTCATTGTCTTTCCACTTCGTGGGAGTTACTGTGGGTCCTTATCCTTTCGTTAGTGGGAGTTACTGTGGGTCAGTATCCTTCCGTGAGGGAGCTTTTGGGTTTCCGTTAGGTGTTCTCTTTAACGGTCAGTAACAGCCAGGAACTACATCAGCCTAACGGACACTACAGGAGCTACATCAGCCTAACGGACACTACAAGAACTACATCCGCCTAACGGACACTGATGGACCCCTGTCGGAGAACTTGTGGGTCATTATCCTTCCGTTAGCGAGCTTGTGGGTTTGTAGTAACTTTGTACACATAGGGAGCTCTCGCTCGCAGGAGTGAGGGTAAATGACCCATTGCTTGTTAACGGAAGGCAAGATAATTAGTAGTACTGTATTAATGACTTGTAAGCTGCCTAACGGAAGGAAGGACAAGGACCCATAAGCTGACTAACGGAATGGTGGACCCATAGCCACAGATTGATTGGGGCTTAACCGTTAGATGGGAGTCGATACTACTTGATGGCTGCAAGATTCCCCGCCACTGCCACCCGTATGAGTCTGGGCCGTGTCTCAGTCTGAGTGTGGCTGATCATCTGGAAAGACCAGCGAAGCATCATCGGCTTGTCGAGCCTTAGGTTCTGGTCCAGTCTATGGTCCCAGTTCTGGTCCAGGTTCTGGTCCTGTTTATGCTCCAGGTTCTGGTCCTGGTGCTGGTCCAGATGCTGGTCCAGTTTCTATGGCCTAAGCATCATCGGCTTGTCGAGCCTTAGGTTCTGGTCCAGTCTATGGTCCCAGTTCTGGTCCTGGTTATGCTCCAGGTTCTGGTTCTGGTCCTGGTGTTGGTCCAGATGCTGGTCCAGTTTCTAGTGCTTTATTCTGGTCACAATTCTGGTCCAGGCTGTGGTTCAGGTTGTGGTGCATGTTGTGTTCCAGCTTATGGTTTCGCCCAAACCCCAAGACTGGAGGTGTCATTGCCTTAATGCCTTTGCCTGGTCCCAGTTGCGGTCCAGCTTCTGGTCCACGCTCTGTTCCCGGTTCTCCTCCAGGTTTTGGTCCTGGTTCTGGTCCAGGTGCTGGTCTAGTTTCTGGTCCTGATTCCGGTCCAGGTTGTGGTTCAGGTTGCTTTCCAGGTTGTGGTTCCCCTCAAACTCAAGACTGAAGGTGTATGCCTTGGGCACTGGGCCCGCTGGGCCCGTAATTGAAAGCTAGTTTCTCAGAGGGGAAAAAAAAAAAAAAAAAAAAAAGACTGGAGGTGTCATTGCCTTCACGCCTTCGTCAACAAAACTTGAAAATTGTAAATCTGTCATCATATCCACCCAAAGGTATTCAAAAACAGAAAAAAAAAAGGTACACATTTTTCACACTGCATATGCTTTTGTGATAGCTTTGTGAGTCTGCACAAACCTGGTGCATGGCTTGGAACATGGTTTAGGGGTCAGGGTTTAAGGTTTATGCTTTAAATCCACCATGTGAACCAGATGAGTTGGTCGAGCTCGGGGTTTGGTCAAGTTAACGGAAACAAAAAGGGTCTGATGAGGACAATTACCATTCACTGGGGAAAAAAAAGAAGGAAAAAAAAGAAACATTCGCTCATCCTTCTGCCTGGCGATCCAGGAGCTGGACAAGTTGAGATTCTGCAACCTTTTTTTGCTAAAAAAAAAAAAAAAAAAAGCAACCTTCCCCATTCATGACACATAAGGGTACAGCCCAGTTTGAAAAAAAGGCCTGAGGACGCTTAACCAATCCCCCATAAAGGTTTGAACCTCCAATTTGCGGCAAAAACCCTGAACCCTAAACCCTGAGCGGATGCTGATATACCACGATGATTTGAATTTTGGACCGTAAGTTCTGATTTTAAAAAAAAGGGGGGCAAGGGGGTATAAGGGGGGGCTGGGATGGGGGGAATTCTCTGCATGCCAGATGTGAAGTTAGGCTATCATGGCGACACAACCCACATGCAGACCCTCATCCTGTGACCAAAGCCCTAAACCCTAAACCCTAAACCCTAAACCCTAAGCCCTCAACCCTAAATTCCAAGCTAATGTGTGAGGACTCAGGGTCATGTTTTTAAGGTTTCGGAGTTTGAACCCTCATAGTGCAGTGTAGGCCCTCAAAAAAAAAAAAAAAAAAACACGAAAGTGACGAAACTGTATTCCTCTTTCCAACTTCACGCGGTAGAATCTCGAAGCCGCTGAAGGGCCCGTGCCGTTTCACGGTACCCGTCCTGCAGGCCAGGTGCGGACTTTTCGAAACTCAGAATCGCAATTTTTTTTTTGTAAGTTTTCTTCGTTTTTGTTTTTTTGCCCTCTTCCAAGTTGTCGCCGACCCCCCGGCGTTTCCGGCCCTAACTCACTGAAACGTCGATTTTAGGGTTTTAGGGGGGGGAGGTGCTTTTTTTTTTTTTTCCTGATGATGAGTTCTGTTCTGTCTGGTGTGGTAGTCTACCGTGCAGGTCCTTTTTCTTTACTCTTTTCTTCTAATATATTATTATACTGAGAAAACTATGGCACAGGCAGGGTTTGAGTTCGAAAATGCACTTCAGGCAAAAGGCCTGGAAATGTCGAATGTATATAACCTAGGTTTTCGGGTATATTTTCCCATGGGATGCTGGGCCCGATTCCCAGCACGTGCTGCTCCCCACGAAAAGATTGGAACTTTTGTAAAAAGAAAGAAAGAAAAAAGAAAAAAGGTTTCGGGTCCGGTGGGGTCACGTGGGGGTGTGTGTTGTGTTCGCGGTATGGCCCGAAGTGCATTTCAAACTGTTTTCGTGACTGCGCCAAAGTTTCCCCAATTATTATTATTATTATTATTATTATTATTATTATTATTATTATTATTATTATTATTTCTTATTATATTATTATTACAAGTTAGCTGCCCATTGTGGCTCCATAAATTTATTGTTTACCTCTATGACTGTCACACACGCTCTCCTTCACACCATCTCCTCCTCTTCCTCCCCCCCTCCCCCCTCCTCTGCACTTATGTTGATTCTCAGGGCTTTTTTTTTTTGTTTTTCCCCCCTAGGGCAATTGCAATCAGACTCGTTCTCAAACACACTTTTCATGCATGTAAACAGCAACGCAGCATACTGGCGAAATGCGCCCACTCAAAACTCAGATGTATGGCTTTCAGATACGAGTTCACTCTCAATTGGCTATGGCGACTTCAGCGCCCAAACATCTCACTGTTCACATACACTGGATCACCCTGGATATCCCACACGCATCACTCTAACACTCGAGCACACACACACACTC